TAAAAGTGTACTTATGAGGGCGCCAGGAGGAAAGCGAGAGAAGACGACGAGCATAACCAGTAGGCAACAACTCCGAGACGCAACTGCACAGCTCTCTGCAGATAATAATGAATGGACACATTCACAAACAATACACATCAGTACACCACTGCACAGAGCAAGCTGTTTTTTGAAGCAAAAAGTAAACACAGAGATTCTCAGAGCTCGATAGCGCAAGTTTCTCGTCTATAAGACACACGACCAGCGATTTGGTTCAGAGACGACACATGACATGAAGAGAGCAGAAGAACCAAGGCAAAGGTTAGAACATAGTACAAACTCTAACGAAACATTAACCCCCGAGCCAAGCGAGGGGACACAGAAGAGTATCAACATGGCCTGACCGTCGGACACAACAGAACACCAAAGCAACAACCCAGCTCCCAACCTGATCTTCACAAAGCGAGAACAATGATCACACCATAAAGCCAACCCCACCAGAAAACTCACTGAGAGATCACAAATCCAAACACCTTCCCCTAAAGGAGCCACAGGAGAGGCAGAGAGGAATCAGCATGGCGGCAGATCCGAGGCGTGCCATACGCAAAGCGCGCATTTGATGAACACGCTGGCCCGCCACTCGAGACCGCTACCAGCTACGGACCAAAGCAATCAATGAAGCGCACAAGGGTCCCAGCGATGACACTCCATGATAAGGCACCGCAGCGTGCAGAGAGGCGTCCGCAGAGCCTTCCACAAACCTGAAGTCGGAGCAAGAGCCACCAACAAGAATATCCCTACATTGGTCAAGCCCCAATAGCCACCAGCCAGAAAAGGCTAGTGAGCCTTTCCCCTCCCCCCAACCAACGCGAGAAACACGGGACCCCCACTAACGACCAGAGGGCCTGGGAGCAAAGACCCATGTCGCCTGAGGGCCACCTTTCAATGCGGCACACATAGGCAAACGCGCAGCCTCGTTTAACACACTACTACAGAGCGAGGTCCTTCAAAAACAATACAGTCCAGTACCCAAACAGCCTGGTACGTTAATATATCGCAGATTCAAGAACCATCAGAGTGCGACCGACAAACACACCAGAGGCTTATACATGCAGCACATGCCCAAGCCAGCAACCTACGAACACGCAACCTGCACGGACACAACAGCTTCTGAAAGCAATAACTACAGACAACGACGACACGACACGAGACTGAACAAAAAAAGCGGATGATAGGAATGCACCAGCGACGAGTACTGAGCATATTAATGACTATATATCCAAACACAGAGCCAATGGCAAAACCCAACAGAGGAGGAGTCCGCTTCAGCAAGCCAGTAATCGCCAGCCATATACCTGACGAGAACACAGACACCCATTGGCGTAAACCAAGAAGAAATCGATCAAGGACAATGAAAGGATCACCCAAATGTCAATTAAAAAATGAGAAGATGTGCACCAACCAAAATGAGATAGAAAGACAGCAAGTACCCCCCGGGCAGTGCGAGTTTGAGACGCGCTACGGCTAGCTGTTAGCTAGCATCGGAGGCAGCAGCAGATGAATCACTTCATGCAAGGTAATGGGGTTCCCTCATTGGTCAACTAGAACGAACGAGCAATAGAGACGCGTTACGGTCACAAAAAACCTACAGAACAGAATATGTTTTGCCAACCTAAAAAAAGCTATTCATATTAAAAAAATGATAATTAGACCTGGGGCGTAGGTGGCACAGTGCTAGTAGATAACCAGCTACTCAGCGAGGCTGAGAGAGCAGAAAGAGGATAGCTGAAGCCACACGGTAGCTGAGGGAGTCCTGTGAACTTAACGTCGATGCTACCGAGGGCACGGTCTTGCACAGGTTATACAATAGAAGTGTCCTTGTCAAAAAAAAAAAAACAAGCGTTGGAGAAAACACGCAACCTACTAAGGAAGGAAAAGACGAGAGAGTGTAGTTCAACAGGTTCGCAGATACAATCCAACTGGACTATATCTGAGGCCTAGCTATGACAACGCATAGATTAACAACATTGTAACAAACACGCCGCTGCCAACTAGCTCTTCAACAAATAATCAGAGACTGTCTTAGATGACGGAGTACAGCGACATGAGCGTTACAGTACAGTATAAAACCATTAACTACACATATAACACATACACACAAACACATTTCGGAAGGAGGGTCCGCCGAACCAGGGAGACGGTTCCGTGCTCATGGTCAGAAGAACTGATGGGTTTGTTGAGACGGTGACGCTGCCCGGGCTGAGCTTCAGGTGACGTCCCTACTGGAGTCCCAGCTGGTGCCTCCTAGAGACCGACAAGCGGGTCTGAACCTCACAGGGACTCGCAGGGGACTCAGCACAGCCACAACAGCCCTGGGAGGGAGGGGCCCCGCCGAGGACTCACACCCTGATCTCCAAACCCACCACCAGGTGAGAAGATGAGGGCACAGACCTACGGAGTACCATGGGAAATGGAGCTGATTCGACACTGGAAGCACCCCTAGGAAAAACGTACCCCAGGCGCTGATTGTCAACAGGGGTGCCAAGACCATTCTAACGCGACAGGATCAAGAATCCCCTTTGTCCCAACAACGTGGGCTCCTAGATCACACATAGAATCACAAACGCCACGCAGATCAGATGACTATCAACACATGCAACCAACCCAGAGATCGCCAAACCTATTGCATGGCATTCTCACAGGAAAACACAGGAGTAAATCTTCGTGCCCTTCCTTGGATTTGGCAAAGGAAGCTTAAGCCTGACACCAAAAGCATTAGCAACAACTAAAAAACAGGTTAATTGGAGTTCGTCAAAATTTAAAACTCTTGAGCTTCAAAAGACATCCATCAAGAGAGTGCAAAGATAATCTACAGAACTGGAGAAAATATCTGCAAACCACGCATCTGATGAGGGACGTGTACCTAGAATATATAAAGAATTCTGACAACTCAGTTTAAAAGTGGGTAAAAGGTCTGAAAAGAACACAAACGTCTAATGAACACTTGAAAATATGTCCAATGTCTTTAGTTATCAGGAAAACGTGAATAAAACCACAGCGAGCTACCAGTGCATACCCCAGCACAGCTAGAATCAAAGAGTCGGACGATAACACGTGTTAGTGAGGATGTGGAGAAACTGGAGCCCTCCTGCCTGCCTGGGAAGGTAAAATGAGGCAACCGCTTTGGAAAATAGCCACTCCTCGAATGATTAAACACAAAGCTCCCACTTGACCTGGCGACTGTATCCTGGGTACGTGCCCAAGAGAAAGGAGAACACCGGCACACCAACGTTCACCGTAGCAGCAATCGGAACAGCCCACAGGCGGAAGCAGCCGTAACACCATCCACTGCCAAGCGGATGAGCAGCACGTGGTGTCTCCACGCACTGGAACGCTGCCCCGCCACGGAAAGGAGGGAGATTCCGAGACGTGTCACGGCATGGGCAAACCTCGCAGACATGTGAGCAGACACAGGGACCACATGCTGTACGCTGTTCCACAAACACATGAGTCCAGACACAGGGACCTCATGTTGTATGCTATTCCACGAACATGTGAGTCCAGACATGGGGGCCACGTGTTGCACACTATTCCACGAACACGCAAGTGCAGACAGGGATCTGCAGGGCAGGCTGGATGGGGGTCGGAGTGTAGCGGAAAGGCAGTGGTTGATGTGACAGAATGTCCAACGTCGACCCTGGTGATAGCTGCATATCTGTGACTACACTAAAAACCACTGAGCTGTGCATTTTAAATTAGTGAGTTCCATGGGGTGTGAACTATATCTCACTAAAGCTTTTTTTAAGAAAGAAAGGAAAGAAAGAAGAGAGAAAGAAAAAAAAGAAAGAAAACAGGCCTTCAAGGACCAGCTCAGGTCCACACACCTGTCTACCTGGCTCATGGGCAGACACCCTGCTCCACACCCAATTTCTGCCTCCCCGTGGGGGGTCACTGTGTGGACAGCAGAGCAGGGGCTCTGCAATCTGTGGGCTGAAACCACTGCACCTGCCCCCACGGCACACGCAGTCCCAGAACCTAGAGGCCATGTCTGGAGAGACCGCCGTGGGGCACGCGGCCTCGGTTCCCCAAGCCCGGGCATGTGAAGCCTGTGCCCACCCTGGGCAGCTGTGGCCCTGCCCTCAGGAGCCCCTGCCAGGAGGCACAGGGAGCAAGCATGGCCCTCCCCCAGTTCTGGGCAGCTTGGGGACAGCTGGGGCTCGTCACCAACGTTCAGGGAAGGCATTTCATCAGCCAGGGTCCGGCCTCTCTGCAGCCACCTGCCCCCCTGCCCTGGGGCTGCCCCCTCACTCAGCCTCCCAGCAGGCGAACGCCCCCCAGCCAGGACTGGGGGCGGTCGACCCTGCAGTGAGCCATCGACCCAAAGGACAGCCGATCAGGGCAGAGCTGAAACGCCACCTGTCTGCTGAGAACCGCAGCAAGTTCACAAACCCAACTCGAGTTTCTTTTTAGGGCCACCATCCCCCAGACGGTGCATGAGCAAAGCAGACCCCAGATGAAACCCAGCACCGTGGCCGGTCCACACCCGCAGACATGGACATCAGGGGCAGGCAGCGCCCTGTGGCTTTCCCCATGGCCTCCCTCTGGTTCTCCTTTCCTCAGCCCAGGGAACCTACACATGAGCTGGACTCGGCGGGAGGGAGGGCTCCGGGGCCTCCATCTCAGGAGGAAGAGGTGCTCTCACCCACTCAGGAGGAAGAGGGCTGGGTTAGTCTGCCACCCCCAAACCCAGCCCACTCCCCGAGGCTCCACGGAGGCCCCACACACACCCACGGCCCCGGAGGCACTGCTTGGGCTGAGGAGTGGGCGGGACCCACAGAGCCCCACGGCCAGAAGGGGGCCAGCCCACGGCCTCACGGAAACTTGGGATTGGCCCTAGAGGGCGCAGCGCGTGGGGCACGAGGGGGACCTTTCGTGGGGACCAGCTGCAGCCGTAGCGACTTCCGCTGAGGGGCTGAGACTCCCCACCACACACATTTGGAAGAAACAACGTATTTTCTCACCATTTGCCTTCTATTCTCCACCAGGTGGATGCCGATAATTCCCAGGAAGGATCCGAAGCCCAGCTGAGACCAAGGGAAACACAAGGGAGAAGCTCCAGTTAGCTCGGCCGGCCGCTCACGGCCACAAAACAGAGCAGCAGCCACCCAGGGGCGAGACCGCAGCCCCTCCTGGCTGGGGGCGTCCCATGCTCAGAGCTCAGATGGAGGAGAAGCTGCCGGAACACAGCCATGTCATGCTCTCTGTCCGGACACTCTTAGCTCCTACTTGCAGGAAGAGAGCATTCTGTGTCCCTCCTCCAGGGAGAACATCTCCTGGGAAACACAGAGCGATTGGGGCTGCCTCCTGAATCCCCAAGAGACCCCTCGGGTAAGATGCCATGAAACTGCAGCGGTGTGTCCCGGGAAGAGCTGTGGGTCGCCGTGGGATACCGCCGACGCCCAGTCAGTGATTTGCCCAGCCGTGCTCTGGATTCAGGGAGCACCCGGCCCCCTCAGCATAGGATGGGAGGAGGGAGGAAGCCTGAAAGGGCGCCCAGGGTAGGGAGCTGGGCAGGTCCCGGGCACCTCCCCAGAATGAAGTTGGGGAGCACCAAGGGGCCATCAGTGGGTGGGAAACCCACAGCCTTGGGCCACACGTGGCCTCTGGATCCTTCAGTACAGCCTTTGACTGAGTCCAAATTGCACAGAACAAATCCTTTTAACACACGGAGGCCGGCCAGGCGCAGTGGCTCACGCCTGTAATCCCAACACTCTGGGAGGCCGAGGTGAGCAGACTGCTCAAGGTCAGGAGTTGGAGACCAGTCTGAGCAAGAGCAAGACCCTATCTCTACTAAAGATAGAAATAAATTAGCTGGACAACTAAAAAAACTATAGAAAAAATTAGCTGGGCATGGTGGTGCATGCCTATAGTCCCAGCTACTCGGGAGGCTGAGGCAGGAAGATCACTTGAGCCCAGAAGTTGGAGGTTGCTGTGAGCTAGGCTGACGCCACAGCACTCTAGCCTGGTCAACAGAGTGAGACCCTGTCTTAAAAATAAAAACAAAAACAAACAAAAACAGAGGCCGAGCGAGGTCTATGGTGACTCCCACTACACGTAATAAGACAGGCCCTCTGGTCACACTCATGCGGGGACGTCAGGGACCAGGCAGTATTCGCATGTCCAAGGTTTTGACATCAATTCAATTTCATTTCCTGTCTGCAGTTACTCCTCTCTCTGTACTCGAGTCTTCGATGACTGACGCCTCGCGCGTGAGTGGTTTTCGCCAACAACTTGAGAATTCTCAAGCAATAAGAAAAGACGAGTATTTCTTCATGCCCTGCCTCGAAATGCCACAGTTCAACCCTGCAGCTCAAAGCTGTGAAAACTGCAGTCCCACAGAACTGTATTAAAACATCTCTAAGTTTTACTAAGTTTTATTTTGGGGGGGATGTGAAACAAATCCTTTTCCAAGACGTCAAGGGGTTTCCGTGTTCTAGGCCATTGCTTCCTGGGAGCAGCTTCTTCCTTCCAGTCTCCACACCGGAGGCAGAATGACCTTGAAATGCATTCTCCTCAGGTCACTTATGCCGGCGTCTGCAGGGCTCGCTTTTAGAGCCACCAAGGTTAAGGCTAACCCTGTGCAGGCACCACCGGGTCCGTTTGCTGCCCAGAAAACAGATCCTTTACCGGCCTCGGCTCGGCATGAACCGCTCGAGTCTGAATGTAATTTTAAGATGGGAAATCTCAAGTAAGTGAAACTTGAGAATAAACAAACAAAAAAAAAACTACCACTTGAGGTTGTGTTTGACAGTTTGCAAATAATCTGGAATGACATGTCTTCACGACCTCTTGCCCTGTAACTTCCGAGCTCCCCTCCCCACCCAGGACACGGGAGGGGACACCCCCCCACCCCACCCCCAGAAGCATGCCGGCCCCTTGCAATTTCACCAGTGACCTTTTTCTGGAGATCCTATTTATGTGCATTTATAAATTACATACATGTAGATAATGTAGCTTTATATAGTAAACACAAAGTATATGATAGTATAAACATGAAATAAACAATATTTATAAAATATTTCTAAATTCTGAGTGCCAACAACCTTTTATCTTCGTTAAAATTGTTATCAATAACTCATCTTAATACCACTTTTAGTGCAAGTAATGACATCAAATAAGCTTCATTTTTTAAAAAGACATCTTGATTTAGCACCTTACGACAGGGCAACTGGGTCCTGGTGCAGCTGAAGGGCACCACAGCTGACCAAAGGTTGTTTCGACAGAGGCTTGTTGTGCAAAATCAGGTACTTGGGGCAAATTTTAATGCTAACAACAGTGGGTGTAAACTGAGAGTTAAAAAATCTTGATAGGCCAGGTGCGGTGGCTCATGCCTGTGTAATCCTAGCACTCTGGGAGGCCAAGGCAGGCAGATTGTTTGAGCTCAGGAGTTCAAGACCAGCCTGAGCAAGAGTGAGACCCTATCCTTACCAAAAACAGAAAAAAGTAGTCGGGAAGGGTGGCACATGCCTGAAGTCCCAGCTACTCTGGAGGCTGAGGCAGGAGGATCACTTGAGCCCAGGAGTTTGAGGTTGCTGTGAGCTAGGCTGACGCCAAGGCACTCTAGTCTGGGCAACAGAGTGAGACTCTCTCAAAAAGAAAAAAAAAATCTTGATAATTTTGAATCTGGTGACCAATCCTCACCAGGTCTGATCGAACTGCCATCAGTTCCTGCATGGTGCTGCTGTCCAACACCTGAGTGGCAAGTGGAGCACATTAGTGCCACCCTCTCCTGTCCCCAGATGGTCACACTATGACAAACCTTCGAGCTCTGGCTTCTTGGCGGGAGCTTTTAAAACTACTCGTCCATGTCCCACGGGTCAGGCTGGCTGGCGTGGCCTCTGCTCCAGCCAGTGGTGGAAGACACGCTCCCACACCCAGGTTGAGGCGAGCTGACCCGCACCTGAATCCCCCTTTGCCAAATGACCACCAACTCCCAGGTTCTGGGGATCGGGGCATGGACATCCTGGGGGTCCTGCTAACCCCACATCCCCAGTTCCACAAGCCGACAGGGATGCCACCCCCCACCCACGTCGCCCCCGCCCGGGACTCACAATGATGCCTGGGTAGTAGCCGCCCACTGTCACGTTCTCCGTCCGGGTGGTGGCGGCCAGGCCAACAGTCAGGATGACCACAGACACCGCCAGCAGAGACCCGACAAACCAGAGTGATGTCTTCTTCCTCCTCGTGAACCCTTCTGGGAGGTGGACGAATGAGAGGCTGTCAGCGAGACCCTGGGGCTGGGAGAGGTCGCCCTGGGCCGCCCCTCTTGCTAGCGGGCAAGGCCTGGGCCACGCAGCCTACACTCTTCCCGCAGACGCCCTCCCTGGGAAACCTCCCAGCCAGCCCTTCACCCCACTTCTTCTGCCTCGTGGCCCCATTTCTCAGAAGCTGTAGTCCCAGCTACCCGGGAGGCTGAGGCAGGAGGATCGCTTTAGCCCAGGAGTTTGAGGTTGCTGTGAGCTAGGCTGATGCCACGGCACTCTAGCCTGGGCAAGGGAGTGAGACTCTGTCTCAAAAACAAAACAAAAAAAAAACGAACGGAGGCCAGGTGAGGTCTACGGTGACTCCTGCTGCACACAGAGGTGACAGGGGTCGCCCCTGGCCACCTGTCACCTCTCCAGATGGCTGCAGCTCCCTGGCTCCACCTGCATCTAATAGACAGCAGGTCTGCACCCGCCCGGCCCCCGCCCACCGCCTGCGTATCGTGGGGTTTCCCGGTGTTCAGAGCAGGAAATAACCAGCAGCACACAGGCGCCGCTTAGTGAGAACATGGGAGGCTAAATCCTGGGGCTCACAACGGGCAGGCCCTGGGGCAGGAGCAGGGAGGGTACTCAGTGACATGAACAACTGTCCTGCCACACGCATCAGCCGTCAGCTCCGAACTGACTCTCCAGCTGCACCCCAGGGACCCGGGCCTGCGTCAGGCCACTTGAAGCCCTGCCAGCCACAGCGAGTGGGCAGGTGGGCAAGGCACCCCCAGTCTGTGGGAAGTGAAGCCTCCCTCTCCCTTCTCATGAAAGTTGCCCTGGTTTACTGCTGGTGCCATGGAAACCAGAAGGTCCACCAGCCTGAGGACAGAAGGGCCAAAAGGCTGCACCTTGATGGCACTGTACCCGAACCCCACCTGCCCTGTGTTCTCAGCATGTGACCTACTTGTTGCTGGGGACGGCTAGGTTGGGGTCTTAGACCCGCTGTGTGTGAGACAAAGCACACACATCCTGCCAGGTCATGGCCCTGCGTGGCTCCGCCCTGCTCACTTCTGGCCTTAGCATTTCCCAGCTGTCCACATCTGGCCACCCGGGCTCTGCCAAGTCTGTCGGGTCCAGGCCTTGCCCCGGGCAAGCCCCACCTTCTGCCAGGCTGGGCCTGGCCCTGCCACTCTCCCCTTGCCGTAGTACGTCCTCGATGTCTGTCCTCCCCCAGGGCCGTGTTCAGCACCAAGCGAGTGAGAGACGGAACAGGGACGGCCGGGAGAAAGCCGAGAGGCATGAGGACTGCGTGGCCCCCGGCAGCCCTGCCCTCCCGAAAGTCCACAGAGCCCCTAGGCTGGGTGCGGGAATGTGCCCAGCCGAAAGTGACATGTTCCAGCCTCTGCTACGGCTAGAAGACTGAGTTCTGGATGAGTAACCGCGAAGCAGAGGACACTGGGTGGGACCCACAGAAAGTATCTGGAAGAGGCTTGTCCCCTTTCTCCCCTTTGCTGCACAGGATGTGAACACGGAGGCGGAGCCCGAGCAGCCATTCTGGGCCATGAGGGAAGCTGGAGCCAGGAAGCCGCAGGGTGGGAAGGGCAGAGCAGAGCAGAGAGGCAGCCCGAGCCGTCCACCTCCAACCTTACTGTGCCAGAATAAAATCTCCAGACCGCAAGCCACGCGTTTGGGTGCACGATATTCGCAGCCAAACCTAATTCTAACCGTCACAGAACTCAAGAAAGCAAACCAGAAAGAACACACAGCCTGCCTCTAACTGCCTTCCCAGTGCAACCTCCCACTACCAGAGAGACTCTGCCTGGTCATTCAACCTCCACACGAGGCGGAGGCTGCAGCAAGTGGAGGATGCGGGAGGATCGCTCAAGGTCAGGAGTTCGAAACCAGCCTGAGCAAGAGTGAGACCTCGTGTCTACTATAAAAAGAAAGAAATTAAGCAGCCAACTAAAAATATAGAAAAAATTAGCCAAGCATGGTGGCAAATGCCTGTAGTCCCAGCTACTCAGGGAGGCCTGAGCAGGAGGTCACCTGCAGTCCAGGGGTTGATGGTTGCTGTGAGCTAGGCTGACACCACGGCACTCTAGTCCAGGGCAAGAGAGTGCGACCTGCTCTCAAAAAAACAACAACAAAAAACATGCTGGTGTCTCCCTACTTGAAATTTCAAAAATCAGCATAATGCGTATGCAGGCACCTATGCAAGTGTTTTGTGTGTTTGCATTTGTGCAAGCGTGCTGTGCATGCGCATGTTACGGCAGCGAAGCATGGGAACCACTGGCGAGGTCACATGCAGACATTCGTCACGCTCCGAAGGTTGGCCACCTGAAGATTTACGCTTCTTGCAAACCCACCAGCAAAAGCATGGGCAGCAGCTCAAGGTCATAGCCTCCAAGTAGGGCGAAGAGGAGGGGCCAGTGACGAAACGAATATCAGGACCTGTAAATCCACGTGCGCACCCAGGGATTGCGACAGTCGCGTTCCCTAACGCTGAGAGCGGCCGGCTTCGATGCCCGCCGACGGCCAGCAGGCGTCTCACTGGGAAGATGGCTTTACCAGGCGGAGCCTCAGGCCAGCACCGGCTGCCGCGCCTCCCTGTGCAGGAGCAAACGGAGTCCCGCACGCCCGGCCACCCGCACGACAGGCCGGGCCCCACCCAGGCCGCCGCTGCGATATGCCAGCTCTCGCCTGCGCCCCGCAAATGCCGCTCACCGGCTGGAGGTGCCTGAGCCCTGGGCCTCGGAGGCGCCAGCTGCCCCCGTGGCCCTGGAGTCCCGAGTCCCGACCACGGCCGCGCCCTCCAGCTCGCACCGCCGGGGCCTCGCGTCCTGCGTCTGGCCACCAGGTTGCCATTGGCCGCATGGCCTCTGACGCCCTGCGTCCCGGCCCTCAGAGTCCCGTGTGTGGGCTGCACGCCACCACGTCCTACCTCGGGGCGTCCCCCGCCGGCCTCTCACTCCACACATCCTACCCACCGTGTCCCGGCCCCGCCGTCGCACCCACACGTGCCTCCTCAGGTCCGCCCCCGGTCGGCCTCTCACCCACACGTCCTCCCTCGGTCCCCCGCGTCTGACCTCTCGGCACCCGACGCGTCCCAACCTCACGGGCCCCCAGCTTCCAGCCTCTCACACACCCTAGCGTCAGACCTCAGGGGCCCTACTTTCCGCCTCTCACGCCGCCACGCAGGACCTCAGGGGCCCCCACTTCCGGCCTCGTCACGCACGCTACGTGCAGACCTCAGGGCCCCACTTCCAGCCTCTCACACCCTACGTCAGACCTCAGGGCCCTACTTCCGGCCTCTCACGCCCCACGTCAGACCTCAGGGCCCCACTTCCGGCCTCTCACGCCGCACGTCCTCCCTCAGGTCCCGTGACCAGCCTCTCCACACGTCCTCCCTCGGGTCCCGCGTCCGGCCTCTCACACCCCAGGGCAGACCTCACGCCCCACTTCCGGCCTTTCACACCGCACGTCCTCCCTCAGGTCCTGCGTCCGGCCTCTCACGCCCCACGTCAGACCTCACGCCGCACGTCCTCCCTCAGGTCCCGTGACCAGCCTCTCCACACGTCCTCCCTCGGGTCCCGCCTCCGGCCTCTCACACCCCACGTCAGACCTCACGCCGCACTTCCGGCCTCCGGCGCGTGTGAGGCGCACGGGCGCAGGGGCCGGGACGACGCGGGAGACGGCGTCTCCCCAGGGCCAGGCAGGCTGCAGGTGCTGTGCTAGAATCGCGGTTTCATCCCGCTTGCTGGAAGGGCGGCGATGTCGTGGAACACGGAGAAGCGCGAGAAACACGGAAGAGGAAATGGAGGCCAGGCGCCGACTAACGCCTGCTGTCAGCGACGCACGGCGGCCTCGGAAACGCGCCCCAAACTCTCCAGCGTCTGCTCCCTGGCCCTGGGGTTTGCAGGGTTGAGAAGGCCGGTCCCTGGGGCGGGACAGGGGGGCGGCGGGGAGGAGAAGAGTCACACTCTGTTCCTGTCGGTTAATTTTAGGAAAGGCAGGTAGATGGGAACAAGTGGACACAGAGCTACAATGCCTCGTTTTGTGTTTTGGAAGGAGATGAAGCCTCCTTTGTGAGAGAGCCCAGAGCACCTGCACCAGTGTCGACCTCGGGGGGTTAGCCTGGGGGGCACACACCTGGAGGGCACACACCTGGGGGGCACAAACCTGGGGAGCAGCCCTGGTGGGGCACACACCTGGGGGGCACAAACCTGGGGAGGCAGCCCTGGGTGACACACCTGGGGAGCAGCCCTGGAAGGGCACACACCTGGGGGGCACAAACCTGGGGAGGTAGCCCTGGGGAACACACACCTGGGGAGCACAAACTTGGGGAGGTAGCCCTGGGGGACACACACGTGGAGGGCACACACCTGGGGAGCAGCCCTGGGAGGCACACATCTGGGGAGCAACCCTGGGAGGGCACACACCTGGGGGGCACAAACCTGGGGAGGTAGCCGTGGGGGACACACACCTGGAGGGCACACACCTGGGGAGCAGCCCTGGGAGGCACACATCTGGGGAGCAACCCTGGGAGGCACACACCTCGGGGCACACACCTGGGAGAGCAGCCCTGAGCTTGTCCCAGGCCTGCATCTCCTCCTGCGCTGGCTTCGGCTTCCCGAAGCCCAGACTGCTCCCAGGCTGTCTGTGAGCAGCCAAATGCCAATTGCTCTTAGTTGATGCCATTTCCTCTTCATCTATTTTCCCTTGACTATTTTCTGCTTAGGTTCCCATTCCAATCTTTTAAGTGTTTTGAGAGCAATAGGATTTCTAAAACTAAGTTTTATGGGATTGAGTTTTTGAGAAAATTACCGAACAAATGCTCTCTTTTTTGAAGGGTCTCATGTTGCTGTTTGCCCTGACTAAATGCATTGCACACCTTTTATGCTAAAAAATGAAAAAAATGACTCAGCACCTGCTTGAAAGCACAGGTGGGACCTTCTGTGGGGCCCGTGGCATTGCCTCCTGTGGCGCCTGCCTGGCGGAACCCTCACCGTGTTCTGGTTTTAGAGCAGGAGGCTCTGCTGCGGGGGCCTGGCTCAGGGAATCTCGATCGTCAGATCCACAGGGCTGGCGGCATGTGGTCGGCCCGACCAAATCAGTCATCGACATTCCAACTTGCTAACCACTAAAAAAGTCAGACACATCTCCTCTCAGGTAAATCCCCCAATGAACTATTTTCCCTATAACGTTGCCATTTATGGCTCTCTCCTGGGCCTGACGCTTCCCCCCAAAACTGCTACATGATGAAAAAAAGCAAAAGATACAAGCCCCCCCTTTTGGTCGGCATGTCCATCACAGGTTCCACGATCACCACAAGGTCTAGAAAGAGTTGCGTAGTCTATATGGGACACTAGAAAGGGACAATTCTGAATAGTCTCATTCTAAGGACACAAATGGTAGCATTCTGACTCCAGATACAGCAGAGGTAACAAAAAGAATCCCAACCTCAAATACGTCTTATAAATACATGATATGGCATAAAAAGCAGACAAAAAAATAAACCCAAGGAAAGGAAGTAGGATATCTCCATAATTACCATAAATATAAGCATTTCTAGATCAGGTTTGGGAGAGAAAGGGGGTTTCACAGATGAGAGAGAGAAATTACGGTGGACGACAGGCTGCGCCACCAATGCCCGGCTAATTTTTTTTCTCTATATATTAGTTGGCCAATTAATTTCTTTCTATTTATAGTAGAGACGGGGTCTCACTCTTGCTCAGGCTGGTTTCAAACTCCTGACCTTGAGCAGTCTGCCGGCCTCGCTCCCGAGTGCTGGCACTTCCGTTTTAACAATGCACATGTAACAGTGTTCCTGCTGATGGGATAGGAGAATCCAGGGAACAATTGTCCATAATTTCTCTCTCTTGGCTGTGAACCTCCTTTTCTCTCCCAAACCTGATCTAGAAATGCTTATATTTATGGTAGTTGATAGAGATATCCTACCTCTTTTTCTTGGGTTTGTCTTCTTTTAGTGCCATATGATGTA